GTGTGAAAAAGTATTTGTTGTTAACATTCTTTTTTTCATTCGGTTTTCCAGTTACGAGTCCTTTTTTTAAAGCTGATCGTTTTGTGTTCATTTTGTTTAGTTCTTTTTTCGTAACAGATTTAATGTTTAGTATAGAGCTTAGAAAAAAAAATTCGCAGTGTCAGATAGGCAAGAAGTAAGGCATGTAGCAACATCAGCACGGCAAAGGGCACTCCTTTAAAAGGCAAGGAAGGGCAAAAATATTTAAAGTCAAGTGATAGCGATTGCTGTATGAGTCGTACGATTTTTGAATCAAGCACGGGCAACGCCGGGCCATGCTGCTAGTAAATTCTAAACTGTTCAAATACCTCCTTATTATAAGACTTTCTGTATGAAAGATAAGTAAACTGAATACAGAATTGTTTGCACCCGTGATATTTCTGTCAAATATAAAAATTTTAACCTGAAAACTTAAGATATGTTCTTAAATAGCCTCCTCCGGCCGAGACTCTTATAGGGTTCAGAAATGTCTAAGCTATCATCAACATCTGACCATTTTCTCAGATCAATGACTAAAATTGACTTCAAGAGAAAAAAGAAGTCGTTCCTTCATCAGACCTTATAGACTAGAGCTACAGAATCACAATCAAAGAAGCTTGTAACGAAAGCGCTTGGAGGAAATATTTATTCTCCTATTTGTATTTCTCTTGTTATAGACATTATTATATCCATGATGTAATAACACATATATTTTACGGACGGAACGAAATGTCCGAAAGGAAACAAATATGCTTTTTTTCTCGGAGAAACTTTTATACTACCAAGACGTACAAAAAAAAACTATATACGCATATATACACACGTGTCACACAGGGAATAATACATGAAGTATCTCTACACAGCGAAGCAGAGCGTAAGGTAAAAACAAAAAGGAATGGTCTTATATATAAGTTGGAGATATTCCTGTATCTGGAGACTCCACTTTTAGTACTCCAGATTCAAGCGGGTCGGATTTATGCACGTCGCAGGCGAGGACATATTCCACGAACGGAACACAGCGACTCTTGGATTTTCTCAAAATGAGAACTGTGAGTTTCATTCTATATCTGGGAAAGATATATACCCAAAGGAAATGGCACCATGGAATTGTAAGATTTCTAGGGAAGCAGATTTAGCTTCGGCCCGAGCCGTGGGTGGAGATAGCGAAAGAAAGCAAACTTCTTGTTTGATTGCAGTAAACCAACTAAATTTGACTCTCGGGTTAGTCACTGTATGAAGTGACGTCATTAAACGGCCGTCGCATGACCCACGTTATTTGTCTCCACCAAAGGGAGATAATCACCTTCTATATCCCTAAAGAAATCATCAAAATTTAAAAAAACAAATGTCACATGAACAGTTTAAGCAAAAACAAGTAAAGGAAAAGGGAAATGTAACTCGAAGATTAAATTATGATATATCCAAGATGCTAACTTTCCACGCTATTGAAAATAATACTAGACAGAGCGGTAAATGTTACTTAGACTTGAGAACTATTATATCCTGAAGAAAGGAACTGTTTTAAACTAAAAGTTTTATAAATGAGGGCTGAATGTAACATTAAAACTATCAGGTTTATCATTATTGATTAAAAAGAATAATATATATCATTATATTTAATTCTGATAGAAATCTTTATTTTTACCAAAAGTTGTTGAAATTAGAACATATTCGTTGGAAACAGCACTGCACATATAAAATCTGCGTTTTAGAGTACGTTTCTCCAGTTATTTGCTCTTGCCTTGTCCTTTTGCACGAATGCACAAGCAGACTCACACATACCTCATCTCCCATCTTATTATTTGTTGGTAGAATTCTTCATTTTGGTACTTTCTTTGACTTGATAACATCGAACATGAATGACAAATATGTCTGGCTAGTGTACACATGAAGAATCAACGACTGAGTGAATAAATATTTGATAAGACACCTATTAATACAACATTGCTACGTCTTCTTTCTTACGAATCTAAAATAGAAATTCAACGGAATAACATCGCCGACTTGAAATCCACATCGAAGAAAATTTCTGATGGAATTTATCTGATTAATATTGAATTTCAATTAAAACAAAGCATGATATGTTTTGTGTTACATTTGAATTCTTGTCGAATATCATTGTGTGATCAAGATATTAAACATGGTAAAAAACTCATTGTTTTGGAATCTAGTTTAGAATCCGGTATCATCTATTGATGAACCCAAATTCAAATAAGATTTCCAATACAAAATTATATTTCTGTACCATATATATATATATATATATATATATATATATATATATATATATATATATATATATATATATATATATATATAGAGATATATATATTATATATATATATATATATATATATATATTCTATATATATATATATATATATATATATATAGGGGGCAATGGGTAAATTGTCGCCATTTTATATTTTCAATTCCACGTATGCGCATTGTTTGTTTTTGATTTTGTCGACTGTACAAGTTGTGTTAGTTGGGCACTGTCCTTGAGAAAAAAAAAAGAGCACCATTTTGCTCAGCCATAAATATGGAAATGGTATGCTGTACTGCGTGGCTTTCGCATTGGAAGCTCTAATACAAACATTTCAGAGTATTTGTGTGCCAATTTAAGGACAATGCACAGGATTCAGTAAGAGATGGATGATTCTAAATTTGATTACGAAAGTGTTTGGAGGGATCATTAGTGATGGCTACGTTATGACTTTATTCATCTTTCCACATGGCCACAGAACAATCACAGCGGCTTACATCAGGTGGAGTAAGGAGGGAGTGCTACACTGACTCAAGAGGCTGTTGGAAAATTCTATGTCGGGCAACAGGACTCGATTTTATTGAATAAATTTACTCTAGTATTTCAAGATATTTTTTTTCATTTTGGTAAATATATCTGTTAAAATGAGATGTCAGTTTTATTTTCATTTTGCGCCGCAACTTAGAAGACCATTTATCCATCTTACCATATATATATATATATATATATATATATATATATATATATATATATATATATATATAAAATAAAAAATATTCGCTCTTTTATCTTAACTATATTATGGCGAATGTGCGGATAATTTTTACTTACTCTCGTATATATATATATATATATATATATATATATATATATATATATAAAAAAAAATTCATCTTGCCATCTATTATTGATATTCTGCCAACACCTTTTGCAGAAAAAACAGCCCTAGATCATGATACTACTACCACCAAACTTTACAGTTGGCAACGTGTTCTTTGGTAAGTAGGCTTCACCGTCCTTCCTCCACACATGATTTCGATAATTATGACCAAACAACTCTATTTTAGTTTCATCTGTCCATAGTACTTTTTCCCAAAATATTCTTTTTTATTTTTACGAATATTCTTTATCCTTATGCTCTCTAACGAATTTTAGCCTAGCATCTCTGTGTCGTTTCAAGAGGAGTGGAATCTTCCATGGGATGCGTGATTTCAGACTGTTTTTGTGTAGTTCATTACTTATTGTACGCTTGGTTATTTTAATTCCTACTGCATGCAGATGTTCCTGCAGCTCTTCTCGGGTAAACTGTGGGTTTTGTGAGATCTGGCGTCCTAATATCCTTGCTGATCTTAGAGAAATCTTACGCGGACCACCTGTTCGTCTTTGGTTTTCGACGCTGTTACGAGTTTTAAACTTTGCAATGAATGAAGCAATTGTAGTAAAAAGGTTGTTAGAAATCGTTCTGTAACTGTTCCCATCTTTCCAAAGAGACAGAATGTGTTGTTTTTGTGAAATAGTCAATTCTTTACCTTTAGGCATTATTAGAACCTTCTCGTAAGACTAGAAATTGCAAAATGCTCTGCTAATGGCTAATAACTATAACTATAATTACTTATAACATTACTGGAACATTCTAGAATATACTTTTTTTATAATTAATTGATTATTTTATTCTAATAATTGATTTGTACGAATACTTTTTCATCAGTTAGAATTAAAAAAATGCATTAATTTCTGTTAGAGTAAGAATTAATAAAGTTTATTATTATTTTTTAATAGTATGTGTCTTCATACATAAAATGTGACGATATTTGTTTTATTTAAGGCTTTTACATTTATAAAAATACAATTTTTCAATGAATATTTATTCCCCTCTCTCTCTCTCTCTCTCTATATATATATATATATGTGTGTGTGTGTGTGTGTGTGTGTGTGTGTGTGTGTGTGTGTGTGATTTAAAGTATATCATCTGCAGTTTCCTGTGGTGAATGATAGTTTATTAAAAATAACTGTTACTGGGAACGCGGAAACAATTAACCATTATGCTCTGAGTAGCCATTGATAGATACATATATATATATATATATATATATATATATATATATATATATATATATATATATATATAATAAAAAACCTTTACGCCTGAAGATGATAAATGTTTTTAGCGGAAGTACTTGCAAGCAATATAGACCGAACATCTAATCCATGTTACAGTTAATAAAAACAAGGATCGTGTCATATATTCATATATATATATATATATATATATATATATATATATATATATATATATATATATATATATATATATATATATATATATATTTTTTTATATATCACAATGTGTCAAAAATATAGGAAAAAGAAATCGAAATACAACTGGAGTTTTTAATAATTATTTAGAGTAACTTTATCAGTTTCACCGTTCTATGATTTTCAAGAGTTAAATTGCGATGGCGAAACGTGATAAGTCTCACATGACTCTAGACGTGTTACAGCATTTCCACATCTAATGCGAGACCTATAATAGCATATCCACATGCCCATCCATTTGAATTTAACTTTTTGAAAATTATAGAACTGTGGAAGTCACTCTAAATATATATATTTTGTGGACCTTTTATATACTGACTTTACTGTCTCGTATTTTTTTAAAAATATGATCAGATAAACTGCGGAAAATAAGACGTGACACAGGATTCCATTGGTAAAAATGTTTTCTTATCATGTGGTAAGTTTATGCATGCGATAACTGACGTAATTCAAAGATAGTTTAGTAAAACCTCCTAAGAAAGGTGAGAACATAGTGGCTGGATTTTAATTTGTTACAAAATTTCTGAGAAATGTTTTGTGATCTTTTAGAACGTAGGCAGTTATGACTCTCCACGATTTCCTGTCCTTTGTAGTTCAAAGTAAGTCTTGTGTTTTGCTCTTTCCTAATCTATGTTCCGCATGTCATTTACATATGCTGGTTAAGCAACTTATTGTCTGCTTTCCTCTGTTCTTCTTGCCTACAATATATTTCGTGAATGTTAAATTCTCCAAGCCCATTTTTCTCATTATGAACACGAAAAATAACAGCTATCTTTTTCTGATTGGAAATATAAGTGTCTATTATCTTTCCATTTACCCTAAACTTTTACTCGCATGTTCTGTCCCCAGGATGACAGAAGTGAATTTTTAGAGTAAATTATATATATATATATAAAATTGAGATAGAAACCCATAAACACACACACACACAGATACACGTGTGCGTGCACACACACACACACACACATATATATATATATATATATATATATATATATATATATATATATATATATATAAAAAAAAAAATTTGTAACATAAACATGTTATAAAATCACTACAAAAATAGCCATTTTGCTTCAACACCCCTGGTGTCTTATCAAGTGATGGTGTTGAATGTAAAATAAATGGCTATTTTTGTAGTGATTTTATAATTTTTTTTTTTTCAAAATAATTATATCTGCTCTACTTTGTATTGAGCACTCTTTTAAGAATAGTAATTGTTGGTTATTGGAATTCATTCCGTATCTACCAATTATATACTTGGGTATATATATATATATATATATATATATATATATATATATATATATATATATATATATATATATATATATATATATATTCCAGTGTCATCCCCCCCACCACATATATATATATATATATATATATATATATATATATCCAGTGTCATCCCATATACATAATTTTAAACTTTATGATTATATAAGATAATAATAAATGAAAAGTAATAAAAAAAATTTCTGTTATACTAATTTTGAGAGTCAATGAAAATCAATTACCTTACGATATACATATTTTTCTAGGTATGTATGTATATATGTTTTTTGTTTGTTTTCTGTGTGCGTGTGTGCGCCTACATATTTGTTTGCGTGTTTGCATGTGTACCCGCAGTTGTGTCTTCAACTTCTTGGCTATATTAGTTTTATGCGAGAACATTACTAATGGAGAGATATAATGATTAAACACGAAGAGAAAAAAAAACATCCATATTATATAAAGTTTCGAAAAAGCTGATAAAAAAACACGTTTCAAAAGAAATTTTCCAGCAAGAAACAGGTATTTCAGCTGTTGTTCCCCACAAGTCATATTCAGTAACTAATCTCATTTTGAACTTAAGAAGAAAATATTTTTTAGAGCTGAATAAAAATAAAAAAAAAACACACAAAAGTTCCGCCCAAACAACAGCGAATGCAACTAAAAACACCAATTTCCCTTAAAAAAGAAGATCGTATAAATGAAACTTATACTGGTGTGAATGAGTTCGCACAGCACTAAAGATGTGTTTAAAAAATGATAATATGACGTTGGAAGCAATGCAGAATTTTTATAATGACGCTGGGAAGATTTTATGATGTTGCTGGCGGATCCAAGCACCTGTTTCGAAGCTCAAATCGTTTATTGAAATAAATTGTATTGCGAAAGGTGCGTGCCGAAAGTTTCTCATTTGCCAACGGTAACCGTGAAAGAACGGAAGGAAAATGAATCAATTTAATTTTTTCGGATTAACGTTTCTTTCATCGGATATTTTTTCTAATTTTTTTTGATAGTTTGCTTTCTTTCCTATCATTTTCCCATTTTTTCCTTTCTTTCTTTTACACTGTTTTCCATTTCCTTCTTTCCTTATGACTGTTTTTCATTTTTTGTTGGCTTCTTGTTTGCTTGTCCCTTTCCTTTACTCCGTCGTCCCCCCTGATAGTTCTTATCTTTTTCTTTATTTGTATTTCTTTCTTTATCGACCTTTATATTACTCAAATCTTATTTCGTCTTTGCTTGTTTGTTTCTTTCCTTTATTTAAAGAACTCTAATTTCCTTTCGTCCATTTTTTTTTTTTACATGAACGAAGTTTTTTTTCTCTTTCATTCTTTCTTTCTTTCTTTCTTTCTTTCTTTCTTTTACATGGGTGAAGCATTTTGTTTGCTTGCTTGATTCTTTCTTTCTTTCTTTTACATGGCTGAACCTTTTTGTTTGTTTGCTTGATTCTTTCTTTCAAATTATTTTCTAACCAATCATCGATTGATTTTTCTCCTTTATAAACGATTACCTTTAAATATCACTTATCCTATATTTTCTCATATAACAGAAATTTCCTACTCTAATTTATTCCAACACATTTTCAGGTATTCTCTCCATTATCTCTGCATTACATCCGATTTAAATTTCTCATTATTATGTATTCAGTTGATTATCGATAAAATTCGTAATGAAGCAGACACCCACCACTGTGTTTTTCGTGATAGTTTGCTAAGAAATGGGGACAAAATACGCTTCTGATCATGCTGCGTAGTAGATATTAATCAGGACAAAAAAACCGTCATCAAAATTCTGATTATGAATCCATATATGTGATTCGCCAAAGACTTTTCTACAAATTTCACGTAATCCTCTTCGCGCAGTAAATAGACTGACGTTGATGCGGTACAGTTTTTAATGAGAAAATCTGAGAAAAAAGTATTGAGAAATATATTACACCCAAGGCATCTTACCTGTTATTAGCACTTATTAACACAGTAATACATACAGTGCCACCCAAAAGTTTACAACACATTACAAAAAATGTTTTTTAAGTATTTCTAATACAGTTACATTGACACTTCCGCTGCTAACTATGGAGATGTTCGTTTTTCTTATCTTGCTCCAGCTGGCTAAGTACGGAAACCTACGTTTTTTTGCATACCGCTGTTATGAGTGTCCCGTTGCGCCATCTATCGTAAAATCACAAAGGACAATACTTCAAAAGATATGTGTATACCCATTACTAATCTGGTAAATCATTCCCAGGTATATCCATGAAAATGGAAGGCTGTAAAACACACTGGTGCCAGTTTTCTGTGTAATAAAATATGGAGGTTGAAATTTGGCATTTTCTTTCAAAATGGCTGGCCGGATGGAGGCAGCACTGGGCAAATGAGTAGCAGTGAAAGGGTTAATTAAACTTTTACTGTTTGTAGAACATATATTTAGGTATTCAGTTAACCAGTTAAAAAAAAAAAAAAACTTCAAAAAGTATCCCACTAAAAAAAAAAACTGATATTTAGTAATCCAAAATTCTACAGCACATTTTCTTTTTATTTACAACAGCTTTTTTTCATAAAAAGTGTTCACATTTTACTCGAATTTTCAAATTAGGATGGAGTTGTTTTTTTTTACAATGTTCCACATTAATTTTATGATTATTTTAGGAATGATTAAAAGTATTGCGTCATTTTTTTTTCAGTCAACCACCCTTAAAACATTGACAAAATGGGTAAAAGTAAAATAATTGATCAAGACCGCCGTAAACGTATATTAGACTTTCATACAAATGCACTTGGTTATAGGAAGATATCTAGTCAGTTCAATGTGCCATTGAGTTCAGGTGATACGATAGTTCGTCACTGGAAGACGTGTCATTTCATTTGTTCACCAAGAAAACTTTGGGCGTCCTAGAAAAGTAATAGAAAGTACGGTAATATTATTGGCGAGAAAAGTTGGCAGCGAGCCCCAAGTTACGCTTAAAGAATTTCAGGGAGACGAGATGTTGAGGGGTTCTCCCCTTTTTACACAAATGGACTCACCCAGTATATACACATACTACTGCTGCGTGAAGACCCGAGAGACGAGAGCAACAGAGAGTGAAGGTAACAAACAAACAAACAAACAAACAAACAGACAGACAGAGACAGACAAACAGACAGAATGAACGTAGCGATCAAGAGTCACAATGAGCGTAGCACGTAGACTCAGTAAGAAGTCATACAGCGATACTTCAATACCAAAGACTGTATATATATCTTGCTACTAACCCGTATTCCTGGAACTACTAACCTGCATTACTAGTTTGAATTATTACGTTAATACATTATTTTTATATATTCATTCTTGGGGTTTGTTATTTACTGGTACCGGGTTTCATCCCGGAATCCACAACACGAGAAGTAAGTAGAGTAAAAGTAAGTACGGGTACAATTAGTCGTTCACTTCGTCAATATAACATATTTTCGAGGACTCCAAGGAAAATAAAACACTTCTTAAGCGAAAACACATAAGCTAGACTGGATTTTGCAAACGAGCATTGTATCAAATCTGCATCATTTTGGGAAAATGTATTTTGGTCAGTGGAAGCGAAAATTGAAATTCTTGGCAGAAATGTTGTGGTAATGGTTTGAAGAAAGAAGCTGCTGAATATTCGCCGAAGATTACTCAACAGTATCGTGTAGGCTTGAAATCAGGTTGGGTCTTTCAACAAGACAACGATCCTAAACATACTGCAAACTTTCAAAATCATGGTTAAGTTCAAATAAAACAGACATTCTAAAATGGCCAAGTCAATTTCCAGATCTCAGTCAGATTGAAAATATGTGGACAGTGCTGAAACTGAGAATTCAGAGCCGGAACCCGCAAAACCTGCATGAACTAAAGGAATTTTGTCATGAAGAATAGAAAAATATTAGCCAAGAAATATGCAAGAAGTTCGTAGGGGACTACTCTAAATGCCTACATGATGTAATTTGCAATAACGGTTACGTTACGAAATATTAATAGATGATTTAGTAAATGTATTGTAAATTTTGCGTTATTAAATATTGGTTTTTCTTCGTGGGATATTTTTATAGATTATTTTAAAAAAATCTAATTATTTGACTAAAGGCTTAAACATATGTATTATTAGCAATAAAAGTTTGATTAATCTGTGTTAGACATACCTAAAAGAAACATTTTTTGTAATGTGTTGTAAACTTTTGCGACGCACTGAATAATCATATATCAGACACCATTAATATTTATCATTATTACTTTTCTTATATAACGTTATTTATTTTTATGATATTTTCAAAAATATCAATTAATTTTATGTTATAATATTGTAATATAATATTAAATCAATATCTCGCGGAATATAGGTATCGCCCAGATTGTTAAAAAAAATATTCCTTTGTAGCATTCATTAAACTGTTTGCCGTCGTTCGTGTATTTTTGAGAACGAGTCACCTTCCGCCACGTTTTCTGCATCCAACCACAATTATCACCAAAGGATCGACAACTTAAATTCCACTAGGTTCTAATTCAAGACGCAACGTTAAAACATTTTGTTTATCAGCAATCTGATGTGATCAGCACAAATTATAACTTTTTTTTCTAGCAAAGGCTTATTTGATGTAAAAGAAGAGTCTGTCATTTTTTATTAGAAAATGCAACACATGCACATTCGTTATCATCAAATTGTATCAGATTCTTTGGCATACTTGTCCCAGCATGCAACACATGCTTAGGTTGGCCCAAAGCAGCAAACCTTTATATTACTGATTATAAGTCTAACGACCCGATATGTGTATGGAATTCTGACATTAATGGATTTCCTTTGTAATAATTTTAATATAAAATCAATAAAGACGTGTAGACAGGCCTTATGGTTGCAAGAATAGGAAAATGAAGAAGGGGATTCGTACAAAACACTTTCTGCAATAGTGTTACGTTACTGGGCCATTACATGTGAATCCGTTTTAAAAGGTAGTAGCTTGTATTTAATTAGTGATGGATAGTTGGCCAACCTGATGTCGTTCTTTAATCTCCATCTCTTCTCTCTCCTTCGCTCGCTGAAACCGATTCCAAGTCTACTGTTCTTCCCGCTGAAATAAAGTGAGTAAGAAAACTAAGAAAGAACGTTCTAGGCACTCAGTCTGTAAAAATCAAAGTTGCTATTATTTTATCCGAGAATTGACTTGTTAAAAAATCATATATTTCCTTGTTACCGACTCATCGGTTTTCAGGAATATGCTTCTGAGTTACAAAATACTACTGTTTGTTTAACGGTTTCGTATCTACGAGCCGATTTAAAAATCCATTTCAGACTGTTTGTGTTCCCTTTGCAATCGTGGCCTTAACAAAGGTACAAAGCGATCTGTTCAATCCAAACCGATATATGGGTTAAACAGCTGGGCACATTGGGTTCTTTTGCTTTGATTGTCAATTACCCTAGGAGAAACATCACCCTTACCTTTCCCAAGCAATATACAGTTTGTAAATGATAAAAAAATCAGAATATGTGGAGAATTATGAACGTATACTCTGATATAAATTTCTCGTCAGAATATCGCTATATGTTCCATTCATCCTCCCTTCTATTCAATGTTCCCTACACGATACTGTTGAGTAATCTTCGGCGAATATTCAGCAGCTTCTTTCTTCACACCTTTGCCACAGCATTTCTGCCAAGAATTTCAATTTTCGCTTCCACTGACCAAAATACATTTTCCCAAAATGATGCAGATTTGATACAATGCTCGTTTGCAAAATCCAGTCTAGCAGGAATGTGTTTTCGCTTAAGAAGTGTTTTATTTTCCTTGGAGTCCTCGAAAATATGTTATATTGACGAAGTGAACGACTAATTGTACCCGTACTTACTTTTACTCTACTTACTTCTCGTGTTGTGGATTCCGGGATGAAACCTGGTACCAATAAATAACAAACGCCAAGAATGAATATAGGAAAATAGTGTATTAATGTAATAATACAAACTGGTAATGCAGGTTAGTAGTTCCAGGATGCGGGTTAGTAGCAAAATATATATACAGTCTTTGGTATTGAAGTATCGCTGTATGACTTCTTACTGAGGCTACGTGCTCGCTCACGGTGACTCTTGCTCTCTACGTTCATTCTGTCTGTCTGTCTGTCTCTGTCTGTCTGTTTGTTTGTTTGTTTGTTACCTTCACTCTCTGTTGCTCTCGTCTCTCTATTCAATTTTCCCATCGACCTTAATTGCAAGATCATTGCAATTAAGGTCGATGGGAAAATTGAATATATTCAAGTGCTGAAATAGATGACATCCAAATTCAGCTTTCTTAAAACTTTTGACTCCTTCATTTTGTAAACGTTTGAGGGAAATAAATTCAAATTTAGACTCGATTTTAAATGTATTAACTTCCTTTCCTATGAAGACTGTGCAGTCAACTCGGCCATCTGCATTGCAGAAGAAATCTCCGACAACATACCTCCAGCCATTTTACTCGATCATTGCACGTGAATCCAAGTTTTTAAAGGGGGGGTCATATATTTAATTCGTGATAGTTAGTTGACCAATCTGCTGGCATGAAACATTCCCTACCTCCAACTCCCTCTTCTCGCTAACTCCAACAACCGATGTTACGGCTAATGGATTTCACTATAAAATAAAACAGGATAAAAAATTAACCAAATCGTCTCTCGTTTGTAGTGATGCGAAAGTGTAGATCTAATGAAATGCTAATAGACCACGAGTAGCCAAAGACGATTGGAACATTCTAAACATTTGCGGGGGAAGGATTCCAACGATCCACGGAACTTGCCTGCATTTGTCAGCAGGTTTGTAACGAGATTATTACAGTGCACATCAGTGTACAACTTGGTTATATTTTCAACCTAGTGTGAATTGCAAATGTACCTCTGGGAGTACATTAACCTCACATCCTCTTCAAGACTAACTGTAGCGTATGTAATTTACATTCGATTGATTCCGATTCTTGCAGCAGTAAAGAGAAAAAATTACTTTCTAAAGCGAAATGTTATGAGAGTAGGAAACAAGGAAATGTAGATATTTCAAAAACAGCAAAACAGATTTTATGCCACAAGTAACGCGTATACAAAAGCAGCTACAGTTTTGGAATAAAAATGTTTTTATGATGAAGAAAACAAGGATAAAATAAATATTTTATGAGTTTGAGTCCAAACTAAATAAACGTCAATGCTTTTTTTTTTAATTCCATAGAGTTCGTTGCAATAGTTATTGTGCATATATCTGCGTGTAAAGGTTTTCACAGAGGAAGCGAAACCATTTGCAAGTAATCCTAAGGGATAATAAGAATTTTCCAACATGCACTCGCCAAAATGCAAAGAAATCTGCTGACCGAACAGTAAGAGGAAAGCAGTGATAAAATGATCTCTCTTCGCTATGTCCGCTTTTGTCGACCTTTTATATACTGACTTTATCGTCTCGTATTTTTAAAAAAAATATGATCAGATAAACTGCGAAAAATAAGACGTGACACAGGATTCCATTGGTAAAAAATGTTTTCTTATCATGTGGTAAGTTTATGCCTGCGATAACTGACGTAATTCAAAGGTAGTTTAGTAAAACCTCCTAAGAAAGGTGAGAACATAGTGGCTGGATTTTAATTTGTTACAAAATTTCTGAGAAATGTTTTGTGATCTTATAGAACGTAGGCAGTTATGACTCTCCACGATTTCCTGTCCTTTGTAGTTCAAAGTAAGTCTTGTGTTTTGCTCTTTCCTAATCTATGTTCCGCAAGTCAATTACGTATGCTGGTTAAGCAAGTTATTGTCTGCTTTCCTCTGTTCTTCTTGCCTACAATACATTTCGTGAATGTTAAATTCTCCAAGCCCATTTTTCTCATTATGAACACGGAAAATAACAACTATCTTTTTCTGATTGGAAATATAAGTGTCTATTATGTTTCCATTTACCCTAAACTTACTCGCATGTTCTGTCCCTAGGACAGGAGTAAATTATATATATATGTAATTGAGATAGAACCCCCCACCCCACGCGCGCATGCACACACACACACACACACACACATATATATATATATATATATAATTATTTATTTAAAAATATGATTCCAACTCGCGACATAAGAGGTCTCATGTTTCAAAACAATAGCCGAAAACATCAATATAATTATTTGAATTAAATTGAATTAAAGTAAGCTCTGCTCCATCTTGAAGCGAAATTTTTTTTTGGAATAACTTATTTCTGAAATTTACGTGTTTTAATAGTATATTCATAATTGAAATCAAAATTTCCATGGTAACAGCCAGGGCGAATTGTTTAAAATAGGTAGGGGTGTGTTACGTGTTAATAATAAGTATCATTATAGAGTTACTTTCATAGATGTCAAGTCAGGGTAAGGTGGGGGTGTCTAAATTTGAAACGGAAGATGTTTTCGCCTAGTCTGGTTTACGTGTCTATGGAGATTTATTTATTTTTTTTATTTTATTTCTTTATGAAAGGGATTTGTGCATATAAAAACTGCCGTAACATTTGTTTTTTGACGACTTTTTTATCTTTTTTGTAGGGTATTTAAACTATTTATTTGGGCTATGGATTATAAAAGTTATTATATTGTATGCTTGTTTTTAGCTAATTATTCAGTGCATAAATTTGATGATGTCGGCAAAAAACCGTTAACTCATGTCTATTGTTTTATATATATTCCAGTGTCATCCCATATATATAATTTTAAACTTTATGATTATATAAGATAATAATAAATGAAAAGTAATAAAAAAAAGTTTCTGTTATACTAATTTTGATAGTCAATGAAAATCAATTACCTCACGATATACATATTTTTCTAGGTATGTATGTATGTATGTTTTTTTGTTTGTTTTGTGTGTTCGTGTGTGCGCCTACATATTTGTTTGCGTGTTTGCATGTGTACCCGCAGTTGTGTCTTCAACTTCTTGACTATATTAGTTTTATGCGAGAACATTACTAATGGAGAGATATAATGATTAAACACGAAGAGAAAAAAAATAAACACACACACACACAATCATATATATATATGTGTGTGTGTGTATGTGTATGTGTATATATATAGTGAGAGAGGGTGAGAGAGAGAAAGATAGATAGATAGATAGATAGATAGAGAGAGAGAGAGAGAGAGAGAGAGAGAGAGAGAGAGAAGTCTTTCTTTTTCTTTTACGGAAAGTTAAAAAGATTAATTAAATTCAAAGTCAAAATATTGGTTGAATAAAGTCAAGATTATAGAAAAGTTAATTTATCATATATCATCATCCACCAAATATATCCCGATAAACACATACCAAAAAATCTTCTTCTGTGTGCCATATCCCACAACTTCCTGTTTTTTTCTAGCTCTCAATAATTTTTTTTTCGCTTAGTCTCTCTTGCCTTCATTACGTCCTGCGAGTATAAAATGTACCTAGTTCTCTTTCCTCATTAAGTATCCTAGAAATTCCAACTGTCCCTTCCTGACGTGAAGTGTCCTTTTTGTTTCCTTTTGTCCCTAGAACTTTGTCGTTGCTCACTTGTTCAGTCTATAGTATCCTCAGTATCCTTCTTTAGAACCATATTTCTGCTGCTTCTAGTCTCCTCGTCGTCTGTGTGAAGATTGTCCAGATTTTGAAAATCTCTTGCTGGGTACATTACAGGTTTCATTGGGACCGCGGACATTCTGTTCTAATCTATCTATCTATCTATCTATCTATCTATCTATCTATCTATCTGTTACGTTTTAATAGTGAAATGTACTTTCTAGAATTAGGAAACTAATCGACAGTCGAGACAATAGTGTCTGGGCGTGATGAAAATCTAATGTAATCATGGATGACGTAATATTTTTCAAGGCCAAGCAAATTTACATCATACACCCCGAAAATAGATTCATATTGTTGCACAGAACTGTAAATAACCTTATCTGAGGAAAAATAGAAATCGATTACGTCCTGTCACTCCAGTAGGTCTAAAACTGAACTGATGTTGAAAGAAAGGAAACTAAAGCGGTTGTTTTAATTAATTTGTACAAGGGTGTGTGTGTGTGTGTGTGTGTGTGTGTGTGTGTGTGTGTGTGTGTGTGTGTGTGTGTATCTATCTATCTATCTATCTATCTATCTATTTATCTATCTATCTGGGAATTTTTAATAGTGAAATATGCTTCTAGAATCTAAACATAGTATTAAGAGATAGGAAACTCGTATTAGAAAGAACGAGAAAGTATTGAACTGTTATATAATATATGTCCTCCTATATAGCATTAAATGCTGAACGATTTCATAAAAGATGAAGAAGAAACGAGTGATGACAGAGATGTGGAATTCCAACCGGATGCTGAGAATATCATGGAGTGGACATGTGAGGAACGAGAGTTTTTTTTAATGAAGTAAAGGACACATATATATGAAATCAGAAATAATAAGGGAAAGAGTAAATTTTCGCGGTGATGACTCTCCACAATTTCATATCCTTTTTAGCTCTTAACAAATGCTGTCTTTTTGTTACCTCTGCTAAAAGAAGATTTGCTCACAGGAAAGGCTTGCTAGTGTGTTCGCACAGCGTTACAGTTCTCGTACGCTTCGTTGAAGTGACGTCCATCGCAGACAATGGCTGTAGGAAACTAATCGACAGTCGAGACAATAGTGTCTGGGCGTGATGAAAATCTGATGCAATCATGGATAACGCATTATTTTTCAAGGCCAAGCAAATTTCATCATATACCCCGAAAATAGATTCATATTGTTGAACAGCACTGCAAATGACCTTATCTGAGGAAAAATAGAAATCGATTACACTCTGTTACTCCCGTGGGTCTAAAACTGAACCTATGTTGAAAGAAAGTAAACTAAAGCGGGTATTTTAATTATTTTACACAAGGGTATATCTATCTATCTATCTATCTATCTATCTGGGAATTTTTAATAGTGAAATATGCTTCTAGAATCTAAACATAGTATTAAGAGACAGGAAACTCACATTAGAAGGAACGATAAAATATTGAACTGTTATATAATATATGATCTCCTATATAGCAGTGAATGCTGAACGATTTCATTAAAGATGAAGACAAAACAAGGGATGACAGAGATGTGGAATTCCAAACGGATGCTGGGAATACCATGGACTCAACGTCTGAGCAACGAGAGTTTTTCTATGAAGTAAAAGGTTACATATAAATGAAATCAGAAATAATTTTCTCAGGGGGAAACAGTAAATTCTTCCTAAAAAATATTTGTTTGAATGAATGGCGGAATGAGGACAAAAAAGGGATACGAAGGAGTGAAATATTGCTTAGAGCTTCAAACGATAGGACAGCCCACGTCCTGAAGAGACACGGTAAATAAATCAATAATGATGGTTTCTAACTGACGACTCATTTCCCTTTTTACATAGACATATTGTAACACTTTAAGCTTGCTGCTAAAAAGAGATAAAGAAGAATAAAACGTTAGAGAAGACACCTAACTTATTCTCTCATTTCTTTGACGAAAATCGATTTATAAAAAGGACGTTATAATAAATAAGATTTGTGGTGTTCATTCTATTTATCGACAACGTTTTTCAGCCTTTCTACGATGGTTATCATAAATTTTATTCCACCGATTTGTGTTAATCTGCAAATAAATCTTTCTCTATATCTAAAAATATTTCTTATTTCATAAGCTTTCGGTCATTTGCGGAGTGTAATCATATTTTGTCCCACCTGTAACAGTTATAGGTGACATATGTATAACTCTTAACACTTTGTTACTGAGTTCCACTTCTATGTCAGGATTTGGCGGTCATGACTCTCCACAATTTCATATCCTTTGTAGCTCTTAACAAATGTTGTTTTTTTTGCTACCTCTCCTAAACCTTGTTTCGCAATCCAATTACTCAAACTCGCTAAATAGGTTGTGTTGATTTTTTTCTGTCCATCTTGCTTTCAATCTCTATTGTGATAAAAATATTTTTCAAGTTTACTTTCCTCATTGTTTTTTTAATCGAGCTATCTCGAACCATTCACGAGTCTATCACGCCCTGCATCACCGTCCTGCATCACCGTCCTGCATAAAGGTCGGAATGTCTTTAGGATGGTATCCAGTGCCTCTTCCTATTCGGTCAATGTAAGTGGTTGCTGTTGCAGTTTTTTTTTGTGTATATCTATGTACTAGTGAGGTAGCCCAAATGACTTGACTCAGTTTATAGTCCACCAATAGAAGGTTAACCAATCAGAAGACGTAGAATATTCAATCCATCGTGTATAAAGGTGGCAATTTTGTTTGATCTATCGCAATGTCCAGTGCCAGCTTGTCAGGCGAAGAAGAACAGAAGGAAGAGCTACGCTCTGCTACTTTCCGGGATATCCACTGCTAACCTGAACAACGCTTCCCTACTGTCTTCGAAATATTCACTGCTAACCTCTGGATTCTATACTCAAAGACGACCGTCATCATGAACAACATTGACGAACCCGCCTTGCGCCATGGTTAGGTATTCGGAGCAGGAGATCCTTCGCAAGTTTTACTTGATAGCAGTGTCCCGCAAAGTGCATTCTAGATTGTCGAAATATCAGAAATGTGTTCATATAGCTGTAGTTTAGTTGAATGTTGTCTCTAAGAGATATCAAGTCTACCTCTCTCTCCGAATCAAGGGTTTTAGTTAATGTCCAAGCAGTATCACCATACATTAAAACCGAGTCTAGAGTGTCTTGAATTATCTCCGTTTGAGGTTGTCTGGTAGAACAGATTTCCAGATTATACTCATTTTTTTTCAAGGCGGCCCTGGCTTTAGCGATGCAAATTTTCACATCCCTTTCAGTAGAATTTATTTCGCTTCCTAGGTATGTAAGAGATTCAACATATTTTATTGATTCACTTGATATAATTTGTATTGAGCCTTGATGGCTGAATCTCAAGAATTCAGTGTGCCATGTGCCGTAGAATTTTCAGCTGACTCTTCTTGGTAAAATTTTCTCTAAAACGGAATCATGACGTTGATCTTCGATCCATTGTATTCTCAGCACCCTAGAATGCAAAATAACGAACCCACCTTCTAAAACAGGGATTCAGATGCAATGGGTCAGAGTGTAAACGCAACGGAAAAGAGCTTTCTCTTGATGTCTCCTTCTGCAAGGTTCTGGATATAGGAACTTGCTATATTTCCATAGAAGAGCAATGTAACGTATTTAAAACAGCTTAAACGCAAAAAACTCCACATTTTAAAATGCATTCACATGAAATGGCCCAGTAAAATGAGGCAATGGTAAAATATTGCTGGCGTCTCCATTCATTTTAATCAAATTTTATATAATTTTACATTTAAAGTTTTAAGAGGATGGCTGAATATTTTCTGTTTTTCATTCTCTATAACTGCGCTCTCATAAAATATGTATTTATTACTCTCCACAGGATCATTTGTAAACTGTATATTGTTTTTTTTCTTGGAAAAAAGACTGGTAGACTATCAATCAAAGTTAAATAACCCAATGTATCCTGCTGTTCAAACCATGGTTCGCTGGCGGTCAAAGAGATCGATTTATATCTGTTTTAAGGACATGAATGCAAAGTGTACATAAACTGTCACGATTGGAATTTGAATTGGCTCGCAGATACCTTTACCGCTAGACCGCCTGCAGAAATTATTATCTCAGAAGTATATCCATGATACCTAATGGGAAAATATAAATCAGAGACAAGGATATATTCTGGAGATATTATTTTATGCAAGTCAGGCTTTGGGATAAGATAACAGCAATTTTTACATTTACAGCTAGGCTACCTCATATATTGGCACGTAAGCTCGAGGTTAGGACGTTCGTTTTCCGACCGTAAGAACCGGGTTCGAATCTCACCAAGGTTTCATTTGTTAGCAAGGTGAAGGTTTGATATGCACCACACTTGGAAAATACCTGAAAACCACATCACATTTAGATCTGAGCCTTGCGACTGAAATAAGATGGCTGCCAACAGTTTTACAGCAACGAAATCACAAGTCATCGTGACCTAGGATTTTTAGCGTGATGGCCTTATTCAAATTGTAGATCCCAACAGATTATACGCTCTGCTCTAAAAATTACATAGTTGCAATATAGACGACAGATTATCATTTTTGGTATCGAACAGACGTAAATGTGCCTGGGTAGGCGTCTGTAACAGGGATCGGTTAGCTAGCTTGCTCTAGCAGACTTGTGTTCAAAGAAACGAGTATTCGTCCAGCATCATTATCATTACCTAAGGTAAACACGCCACTAATATTTTCTAATACAATCACCTTGACAAAGACCATCACTTCTTCAGAATGAGCGCGTCTTCAAATAACCGACCAGATCCTTACGTCAAAGCCAAACCATGAATGCCTCCATCAGACTCTGATGTTCGTGAAGTGCCTTCAGTTGACGTTAATCTAACGATCGATGTTATTTTAGTTCCGTGTCTTAAGCAGAGACGGCCGCAAATCACTCGATGCCAGCAGGGGCAGCCTATCACGTCCGTTGATAAGGGGAAAAAAACCTATTGGCCTCTATTTGGAAGTTCGGACCACTCAATTGACCGCATGACACGCCATATCGGCTGTTTTGCTAGCAAGGTTTTAGCTCTTATTTATTCGACTGGAGAAAATCCTGTTTGTCAACTAAGTGTTTGTACTGGGATGATAGCCATTGTGAATCTTTCGGTATATCGGCTTATGCCCCCCACCTGCACCACTTCACTGTCTGTTCAATCTTTTCTTTCATTTTTCTTTTCTTTTTTATTTATTTTCATTGTTATTGTCTGAATTCTCTTTTTTATCGATTACTTCAGTCTTATTTAAGAACATCATCCTTACGCTTAATTCTTTCTTTTTTGCGAATTTTCGTCTTCTTTATTGTCTTATGACGTCTCTTCTCTTTCCGGCCTCATTTTCGTTGTCTTTCTCCCTTCTGTAGGTAGCTTACTATAATCAACGCTTCCACTTCTCATTATATCATTCATTAACAGTTTTCTCTGTTTCTACTTTCTTTTAACGTCCTCACTTGCCTGAAAACATCCTCTTCTTTATTCTTCAATCAGTACACCAACTTTTTTTTTTATTCATTTTATTGTTCTCGTCTCTTCCCTCAAAACGAACTCTTTTTTTTCTTCTTTAGCTAACTCATCTTCATCATCATTCCATTTTATTTATGCTCCTCCTCTTCATCAATTTCTTCTTTGCCATCACTTTTTGTTTGCTTCTTCTTATAAAAGCCATCTCTTTTTTCCGAAAATGTCCTATTTTTCTTCTTCAACTAGCATATAAACGCGTATATTTTTCATTTTATTTAGTCCTACCACGACAACATCGACCACCATCATCAACATCATCATCATCTCTTAAAAATATTCCTTTCCTTTTCATCATTTTCTTTTTCTTTCTCTCTTTGTTTCTTTCTTTGTTTCTTTCCTTCTTTCTTTTTCTTTCTTTCTTTCTTTCTTTCTTTCTTTCTTTCTTTCTTTCTTTCTTTCTTCTACGCCGGCAACGTCAACACAATCGTTTTATTTTTTCTCACTTCTTTTTCTTTTTATTCCAATTCATTCTTTATTTCTTCTTCGTTTCTTCTTCTTCTGTGGTTCCTTCTTTTACTTCAACCATCGTCATCATCATTGTTTTATTTTCCTCGCCCCGCACTTCTTTGTTTCTTACTTTCTTCTTTTTTCATATTTTTCCGCTTTCTTCTTCTTCTTCTTCTTCTTTTTCTTCTTCATCATCTTCTTCTTCTTTTAATTCTTTCTCTATATTCATCCTTTAAGACTATTCAACTAAACTAACAAACTCATTTGTCGTTCTTTTTTACACGATGTAACTTAGAAAATAACCGAAAACAATGTAAATTGTAGTCATAATATTATTGTAACGTAAAATAAAAATAAAAATAATTGTGTATTCAGTCCTGAGCTTTCAAAAATGAAGTTCCTTTGGAAGTTTTACTCATACCTAATATCCTTGATAATGAGCAAAAGTATGACCGAAAGCTCTAGATGTTAAATTTTGGGAAATATTGGGTTGGTGCATAATTATCAGACGTTTTTAAAACAATATTTATTATGAAAAAAGAAGCATAACAATTGAACAATACAATTTTTAAATGATTATTCCGGGGCGTATGATTATCAATACGCATTTTTATAACCTGGAAATAAAATAATATTTTTACTAAAAACGTAAACAAAACAGCATTTTTATTAACAAATAGCTAGCCTACAAAATCACCTGATAATTATGCACCAACCCAATATTTACACCTAGAGAATTTAGAAATGTCTAGTATTTTACGTAAACATATAAAGTTAATCAAAAAGTTTATATTGTGTGCATGGTGATAAGCTAATTAGAAGAAGGTATTTTAAAAGCTGTCAAGAACTGACGATTTTTGTAAGCTTTTGAATATTTTAAATGACAGCTTCTCTTATTAAATAACAGATAAAACATTTTCCCTATGTCAGATTTTATTATGTAAGTCAATGTTTTCACAAGTAGATTGGTATTAACCAAATGCTGTTCGGAGAATTTCCAGGGTATATTAACTTTAAATATTAACATAGGTTTCTGCTGGACATAAAACGGGGGATCGGCTTTCAATTCTTATTAAGTAATAAGAGTAACCATCCTATAACTAGTATATTATGTCGGATTTTATTATACACGTCAATATTTTCAAAATAAATTGATATTAACCAATCGATGTTAACACAATTTCAAGGATATATTTACTTTAGTTAATAATGTAAGTTTATATAAAGTGGGTGATCATTATTTATTGTTATTAAACAATAAACTGCTCCACTTAAGAATTACTAAACTATATTTTATTATGCAAGTAAATGTTATTACAATAAAATTGCTATTAACCAAACTATATTGGTAAAATTATGAAAATATATTTTTATTGAATACTTGGGCAGCAATACCTCTTTTATGCATATTTCGTTAAAAATGACTGACAATGTAATGTGATTAAGATTTTTATTTAATTTTTGTTTTTTCTGTATAAGTGTTTTCGTTTCTGGACACAGTGTGTAAAAACTGACCAGTAGCTCTGCATATCCGAGCTCTTTCGCCTATTTTTTTTAGCCATTATCTAATTTTCTTGCATTTTTTTTTGTCATCAACAGAATTTCATTGGTTTAACAACTTTCTATTTCCTATCTTCTCGACTTTCCTCTTCTTATGAATCTGGGTAATTATGAATATACTTATCTATTTCTCTTTACCTTTCTTTTTTTGTCTTTTTTTTTGGTAGTAGGGTTAATTTCCAATGCTTTCTCTTGACTTTCTTTTCTTTACTTTCCTCTTTCCTATTTTTTTTTATTAATTTCTTATCTTCTTTCTTTTTTCTTAATATAAATTCTATTTACCTTTTACTGAAAATTTTCCAAAAGCGGAATGTGAAGTAGTCTTTCATTAAAGAAATTTTGGATAAAATAGTTTAGTACCATCATTGTTAGCTACCTGAAGAAACATTTGATTTTAATGTTGAAACAAAACAAAATGTACATTTTTATAGTGAAAATTTACATGTTCTATTACTCTACTTTTGTATTGAGCTTTGTTTTAAATTAATGTTTTGAACGTTTATATTTTATTCTTCGTTCTTTTACACACACACACGCACAAACATACACACACACACGCACAAACATACACACACACATATATGTGTGGGCGTGTGTGTGTATACATATGAAGAATATAGTTTTAATGTGTGCTATATTTATGGGATAAAGTGCTCAATATCAGAGATAGAGCATATGTAAATATAAATATAAAAGTGAAAATTGAAGTCCACAGTCAAAGACGACAGACTGTTTCATGCTGGACGCAATCGTCATGGCGCCTGACGATTGCGTCCAGCATGAAACAGCCTGTTGCTTCTGAGTGTTGACTTCAATGTTCACTTATATATATATATATATATATATATATATATATATATATGCGCGATGAGGACGAAAGTAATATATAAATTTCAACGTTCACAGCACAGTAATCCAAAAGAGGGCACGATACCGATAGTAGAGCGAAAAATTATTTATTATAAATGTTTTTTGTCTATAGGGTAAAATTATAATATATATATATATATATATATATATATATATATATATATATATATATATATATATATATATATGCACACTAGCAGTATAACCTGTCTTCTAGCGGGTCTTTCATTCGTGGGAATTTTTGCCGTTCAATTGGAGCAGTTTAAGTTTAAAGTCAGCCTGCTTGAAAACCAGTATTAGTGACAACATTTGGATGCAACTAACACACATCCCCAGATGGGGGGTTAACAATTTGAATGGGGGGGTGAAAAGTGAACTGTATAATAATAAATAATATTATTGTAATAATTTAAACTATTTTTTTATGTTTTTATGAAAGAGATATGTCCAAGAACAGATAGTAAATAGTAAAACGTTGCTGAGAGTTATAATGGACAGGAAGTAGTGGAGAGCCATACTCGACTCAAAACCAGCATTGAAGTATTATCTATCAAACAAAAAAAAATCATCGAAATCGGACGAAAACTGGAAATATATAAACAACATCCGATCACACACACACAAACACACACACACACATTTTGAGAATTATAGATATAGATATAATTATGTAAATTTAACTGTATAATAATAAACAATATTATTGTAATAATTTAAATTATTTATTTTTATTAAAGTTTTTATGAAAGATATATATCCATGAACAGCACTGAAGAATTATCTATCAAACAAATAAAAAATTCATCAAAATCGGCTGAAAACTGTGGAAATGCATAAACAACATCAAATCACACACACACACACACACACACACACATATATATATATATATATGTGTGTGTGTGTGTGGAGAGAGAGAAGAAGTGAATTCACACATATCTATTTACGCGTAAGTGAATATAATGTAACCATCGGAATTTGTAACTTGGTTCTCTGATATCAATTCTGAGCCATTACACCACCCGAACATCCAAGCTTACAACACTTGATATTCCCAAGCAGTCACCCATCTCGGTACTGACCAGCCGAGACATTTCTTAACTTCACTGGTCCTACGAGAATTGGAGTATCAAAGTGTATCGCCATTACACCATTCGCACATCGAAGATTACAGCACCTAGTATTCCTAACCGGTCACCCATCTAGATACTGACCAGGCTCGACATTACTTAACTTCGGTGATCATACGAAAACTTGTTTTTTCAACGTGATATGGCAATTATACATTTTCCCACCCGCACATTCTAAACTTACACTACCTGGCATGCCTAACCGGTCACCTATCTAGGTATTGACCAGGCTCGACATTGCTTAATTTCGGTGATGCTACGGGAACTGGTGTTTCAACATGATATGACCGTTATACATTATACAACCCTCAAATCGAAGCTTATACCAACTAATATTCTCAAGCGGTCACACATCTATGTATTGACACTAATCGACGTTGCTTAACTTCGGTGATCGTACAAGAAATAAGAGAAGTATAAAAGCAAGATAATTTTTCTCTGAAGTAAAGTGAAATTTACTTTTCTCTGTTCGTAGGTCGCGAATTTTGCTACTTTAATAAGTAGCTCTTAGTTCGCATCTCCGACTTATAGATAAGAAGTCACATTTAACATCAGTTAGGTTCGATTTATATAGAACACATATTCTATGAAAATATCCTACCAATATTAAAGCACCAAAGTTATTTTTTAATATCTATAATTATTTGTATTATTAACTTACATTTCGTTTCTTTCCCAAATAATATTGATGCGTTAAACCCATTAAAAACAACTAGAAATACGTTGAACATTTACTTATTATTCGGATGTTAAATTCAGAGAAGTAAAAAATAATCATATCTTTTTACATTCGGTAAATGGAATGAGTTAGCGCCCTTGTGAAAATGTAAAAAGAAATTCAAATAATAACAATTGCAATTTAGTCTTCTATGTTTTAAATTAGTTTAACGCTTTAATAATGATAGGAAAATAAAAAAAAAGAAACGTAAGTGACTGCAAATGATTACAAACATTAAAAGGTAAAAATCTCCAAACTTTTCTAAGTTAATTTCATCTGCAGTTGAAGTCACAGACGACTGCCCATACGAAAATATAATTCATCTAATTGAGTTGGTTCACAAAAGTAGAGAGGGACGTAAGACAAAAATTTGTCTTCTCCTCAGATCTGTTTAACCTCTACAGCAAGGCTATCCTAAGGGAACTGGACACTCACTTATTATCGTGAAGCGGACGCGGGGTTGGTATAATCTTAACAATATACGATACGGAGATAAAACTGTTGATATAAGACACAGAAAGAAATCTACAAGCAAGGTAGTAAATTAAAGAAAGAAGAATGCTTTAGCTAGGAATACAGCAATTCTGATCGTCGCCAAGAGAAAAAGTTCTATAAGCGAACTACGAATTTTAGATGTCGCCATCAAACAATTACAGAAGTTTAATTATCTGGAAAGTCTTTTAAAAGAGGATGAAAATGCGACAACGATATCCGAACGCGCATTGGATTTGCGAAATATAAATTAAAAAAAATTAAACAATGTACTTGTATTGAGTCCCGATAATAATAAAATAAAATATGAAAATAAAATATATAAACAAAAAATAAAAGAATTAAAATTAAAATAAGGCAATTGCATTTTCTTTATCAATCTTATCTCTTCGCTCTCTCTCTCTCTCGCACTCTCTATATTCTCCTCTTTCTGTATTTCTCTAAACTAACTGGAAGGAAACCCTCAAATTAAAAGAGGAACAAAAAGAAAAGAGTGAACCCGGTCGGCAAACACTGGACGTTAGCGGGACTTGAGCCTACTAATTTATGATTATAAATCTCTAAAAATAGTACAGGCTCCACGCATAACTTCTGTTACATAAGAAAAAATGCAAAAGAAAAGAAAACCGGCAAATAAAATAATTTGTGCCAATCAAAAAATTAACACAAAGAAACTTTTGATGATAGCTGGAAACGAACTCCGCGCCATAGTCGGGGATCCGGGTTGAAAGTATATAAGCTCATAGCTCTGTACCAGACGAGAGAAGAGACAGCACGAAAAACCACGACACAAGAGATGAGACCGCCGGGGAAAGCAGCCAAGGTTGATGATGTAGTTAAGAGGTCATGATATTTTCTGCACTTCTTATGGCCGAGTCAAACACAATAGAATTAAATTGATCTATTTCTAAGATGATTATTACGATCAACTTCTGATTTTTAAATTGTCGAATGTCTTTCTCCGGTCTGCTATTTAGATCTGCCTTATAAAAGAATATTTTCTTAACCCGAATATCAAAGGAATCACACTAATCTAAAGCAAATAAATAAGTATATATTAGATACCTTCTATTCATTATTCAGTTCGTTGTAATTCCAGAGTTTCCAATGGAATAATTAACAGGAACCTTCTGATACATATTACCACATACTAAAAAAATAAGTAAATTTTGTTAGAAACAAAGAAAAGCGTTCTGAGTTGCTAAGTGATATCAATCCTCTTCTATAACAGGAACTGCTGGGAAATTTCGCCACAAATGAAGAAAACACTGGAAGCAATAGAAATATGGTTCTACGGAAGAATACTAAGGATTCCATGACCGTAAAAAGTAAGGAATGATGAAGTCTAAAAGAAAATGGTGAAAAAAAAAATAGTTATACTAATAATCAGAAAGACCCATCTGAAATTTGTTGGACATATAATAAAGAAGGAAAGCTTGGTAAACTTAACACTGACAGGGGATATCGAGGAAAAGAGAGATAAATGATGATATCATGCCACCCACACGACGAGCTTGTATGAATGGATGGAAGAACGGGGGCGGTAAATAGAAAAAAAAGGTTCCCAGGGTCACAAGAGATAAACATGTGTGGAATGCCATGATCGCCCACATCCTGATTGGACACAGTATATAGACAAAAATATCTTGACGTCAACGAGTCGAATAATGGCTGAATTAAATTCACTCAAATGTTACTATACAAACATGTTTTCGGCTAAAAATCCGAATGCAAAACTGTCAGGATAAAGTTATATGATAAGCAAACAGTATGAATTCCAGTTTTGCTTAGAAATATAAACGTCTGCTACTATGGACATTTTTTAGAAACTTGTGAAATGTCGCTAAGAAGCGATTGTGTTATAAAAATAATATAGAAGAGCCACATAGGCTCACGGTTACATCAAAGATCCGATTAACATGAGATCACAGAATTTAAGTAACGTCGATCTAGATGGGTGACTGCTTAGGAATACAAGTAGCGAAGAGGTTGAATATGTTGGGGGGTGTAATGGATAACGACTCGGAGGTTGTTCTAATTCGAGGTGAGTTCGTTATTTACGCATGTGAAAATGTATGAACCCACATCCTATATGGGTTAAATAGTGAGACTTATATAACTAAATCAAAATTATCTAAAATTTATTTTTATTCTCGGAAAAATAATCAAAGTGTTGAGAATCCATAGAAAAAGAATCAGTTAAATTTTTTTTTGTAATATTAAAAATGGATTATAAGAATATTGGATTGGCTAGCAAAGAAATATTGAAATAATCTGGTATTTTGAATCTTGGAATATTAATAACATTGGCTAAATACCAGAAAACAAATAAACTACGTAAGTAAATATAATAAACAGAAACATGTACACACTGAGTGAAGAATTAGATGAAAACAGTAATTTTCAGTGACCAACTTCTGATAGATTCTGAAGGCGTGAGGGAATACTAAAAATGCCTTCCTAAAACTAAGCAAATTATTAAAACAGATAAAAATATCGTTAGAAACTAGGAAAAGAGTTTCAAAGTGTTATGTAATATCAATCCTGTTATATGGCAGTGAGGACTGGGTGATCCCTCTCAGACGAGAAAGAGAATTGAGGCAGCAGAAATGTAGTTTTAATAGAAAGATACTGGATAGAGAATGGGGGTTTTAAGGCAAATTTAAATAAGAATGATAATTATACTTAAAATCAGAAAATGACACTCAGAAGTTCTAAAAGAGATTGGAGAATTTGACAGAGGACATATGGAAGGTAAGAGGTACAGGTGGAAACAGTGAGATTCTATCTAAGATGCCAGAATAAAGAGTGGCAGGGGCGATGGTGGAATGAAAAACCTTATTAAAGAGACGGAAAAGTATATTGCCAGGTAGCAGATATGTAAAGATACGGTACACAGAAGAAGAATTTGAAGAAAGAGCAGGACGGACGGATTTTTGTTGATGAAAATGGAGTTACATTGGATGAATCTGATATGTTGACAAAGTTTCGGTTCTTCATATAAATATTCACTTTGAAGACAATAAAAGAGGCCTGGAGAGAGATGTTGGGATAGTATCGTAGGCAATAAGATAATAGTTTACTTAACGGGTGTATTACGATAAAAAGTAGGGAAATAAATAAACTTTATTCTTTTGGACAAGGTATTTTGATTTTTTTACAAGTCACTATCCATGTAATTCAAATAAAAAAAAAAGTATTTATGCTAGTCAAAACAAACTTTTGGAAAAGACGCCCAAGAAGTTTCCAAATACACTAATAGACTTTCTCCTCAGTAGGTATTATCAACTGCTGTTGTCTCTTTGTGTTATTAATGAAAGCGTATGACTGGAACGTAGAAATGAATTAGTTTGAGAAACATTTTGTTCTGTCGTAAATAGTGAAGAGTGACCTAGGAACATGAATGTGTTAGTCAAAGATACGAACTAACTAAACACTGCCCTATTGTCAGTCACTCATTTAATTGGTTTACTTGAGGGAGAAGAAACCATATTTGAATTTTCTGCTTTTCAGTCAGATACTATTTAGAATATTAAAGGAATGACTCTGACTCAATTTGATTATTTTTCCGAGACATATTTGATAAAGACAGGAGCTACGAAAATACCCTGAATATTAATTATATATATATATATATATATATATATATATATATATATATATATGTGTGTGGGGGGGTGTATATGTGTGTGTGTGTGTGTGTGTGTGGGTGTATATGTGTGTGCGTGTGTGTATATATGTGTGTGTGTGTGTATATATATGTGTGTGTATATATATATATGTGTGTGTGTGTGTGTGTGTGTATATATATATATGTGTGTGTATATATATGTGTGTGTATATATATATATATGTATATATATATATATATATATATATATATATATATATATATATATATATATATATATTTGTTTTTGCACTATAATTAATTTGG